TTTTTGCTCATTTTCTTTTGAAATTTTCGTCATCTAACATTAAAACTTAATGGAGGGACTAAAAGGGGGCCAAATTTCAAATTTTAGGGATAAAAAAAGAGCCTTTTTAAGTAGAGAGACTAAAAATAAGTTTTTTTCAAAATAGAAGGACCAAATTAAAGTTTTAACCAAAATTTTTTGTTCTTCTCTTTTTTTGGGCATCCAAACGTCCTATTTATGTTGCTGTTGCTGTTGATAACCTTGAATTTGCTGCCATGGGCAAAAGAGAAATTCTCTGCAGGCAGATTTAACTTAGCTACTGGAAATTTGCACGCGGGCAAAAGACAATCTCATTAGTGCTCTATACTCCAATACGTAAGGAATATTTCGGTGGAGGATGAAGGAGGAGAGGAGGAGAGAAAAATGAAGGAAGATGGTGTAAAAGAGGGACAAAAATTAAAATCACCTTTGAGTTGAAGAAGAAGATCATTTTATAGTGGCGAAGTGGTTTGCTTTGTTGAGGATAGAAACTTGTATAGTCTATACATCTGTCCAAGTCTGACTTACAAAAAAATACAATAGCAAGTATGACTATAAATAGAAGAGTAATGATAGGGAGAAAAAAAATTTGAGATAAAAATTTAGGACCAATAACGTGGCATAAGCCACATCATTAAATTAACTGATGTATATAATATCATGAATTCAAAAAAATAAAAAAAAGTTAATCATTAAATGATATAAAGTTTATTTTTTAATATTTAAAATGCTTATTAAATAATATAAAATTTATTTTTTAATATTTTAAATGACATAATTTATATTACATGAATAGTTTTATGTTTTGAACCCGAATTTTAATCCCATTTATCATTATTTTTACTAAAAAGGTATTTAGTGGTAAGAAAACAAAAAAGGATTATATTGTGTGGGGTCTTGTCTTTTATTCCTTTGTCTTGATTGTTAAGTCTTACGTCTTAGGTAAATAGTTAAAATCTATTAAATATCATCTAAGTTCCATTCTAAATAGCTTAATTATTTGATTTTAAATACTTCCTTCTAAGGTCATGAGAATTAAGATCTAACTCAACTTGATTGATTCTTCTTTTAGGAGTTTTCCTAGTCATACCGAAGGTAATATTGAATCCCTTTCAACTATGACATAAGTCCACATGGACAAATTGGGCCATGCCACAGGTAGAGAGTATTTTACTTTATATCTTGTGTTGACAGTGTTGTTGTGGCATCTTGAATTAACTAGATGAGTAGATGGAATAATGATTCCTTGGAAAACTCTAATGTTTAGTTGTTGAGAAAATTGATAGTAGGAAAATTCATGTTTTCCGGATTGTTTGGTGTCCAATATATAGCGTGTTTATGGTATACTTTTGTTGTGGCAGAGATGAATCCGCACCAGAGGGTGGAGAAGCCGAAGGCAGAGACACCAATAAATGAGAATGAGTTGAGAATTACAGTTTAAGGAGAATGAGGAATTATATCTTATGCAATTTTTCTGCTTCAGCTTTCTTATTATCGTGCTCGCTCATGTATTTCTCTGTTCCAACATTGTTAATGAATGTACCTTCTGCTAATTTTCTTTTGCAATTTGATGCAAAAAAAAAAAAAAAAAAAAACGTCAGTAATGATTAAGCGGTACGAAACCTTGAAAGAAAGCCTTTCTAGTTTCTGCAGTATCTAAATAATATCTGAAAGGACTACACGTAGGCATGTACTTATATATGCGTCCTCTTCCCTTTAGGTTTCATATTATTACGACACTTTTTATCAGAAGTGCTTTGTATTAGATTACTCGTGGTAATGAAAAAGCCACTGTTATTCCGTTGATTTCAATGTTCATGCTGAGGTCTTGATTTATGTATGATCTTTTGCAGGAGAAAGGTGCCAATGAGATTGTCCTCAAAGCCACAGGTAGAGCTATCAACAAGACTGATGATTCCTGAATTAATCAAGGTATTTTGATTTTGATTGGTTAATTTACTACGGTAATCCTCTTACTATGAGGATGCTTTGGTCCAGTTGCTGTGGTTTCCAGATATTTATTTTGCAAAATGTACAAGTATACAGCAATATGTCTCATTCATTCAAACAATTTCAGCTTACTATATGCTGTCCATGTGTGTACCATCGAGTTTCTCTTACAGCGTGTTTGGAATACAAGTTAGGATAGAATTGGTCAACACAAAAATAATGGGACAAGATAAGATTGAATTAAAGAAGACAATACAAGCCCCATCTCATGTTTGGCATTTTTTTGGATTGTATAAAAAATTTATCTTATCTTTATTTGAAACTCTGTTGGAATATGCAAGGTAACTTTTACAAATTTTTCATATGGGCAAAAATGTCTTTAAGTTTAAAATATTTAAAAACTTTCATTTATTTACCTAAATTTATTAGATAAAATGTTTTTAAAAAATAAAAATTTATTAATTTATAAAAATAATAACTTCTTTAACTACCAAAACTATTATATTATATAATATATAAATTCATAAATAAATCAAATAAATTGAACACTAAAAAACCATAAATTATAAAAAATATAAATAAGACAAATTTATCAAAATAATTTATAAAAAATTTAAATAAAAAACTATCATCTTTATAGCCAGGTAATTTGAAGCCAATTCCTACCCTTTTCACTTCCCTTCTAAGTTTCCTGGAAGCCAAATTGCTCCAACGTAATTACTCAAGCAAGAAAATAATTCTCTTTTTGGAAAAGGAAAAGTAGAAGCTAATCGAACTTATCTTCAGTTTTCCTTCCTTGGAACATTTGAAATTAAACCAATAAATGTAATTCCTTTCACATTCCCCACTATCATTTTCTCACCGACCAAACAAAAGCTAAGAAATTTGGAAAAAGAAATTACAAATTATATGCAAATCCATTTAAGCAAAGAGAGGGAGAGAGTTATGATGAGAGACTGAACAAGAGGGATCATCTCAACTAGATCGTTATAGAGGACGTGACCCATATTACCGTTCGCGGCAGAGTTAGAGAGTGAAGACTGAATTCGACAGTTTGTCGACGACGAGTCAACCTCCCCCGACAACCATGAATTCTGATCTCCGAAACCTGAATTTTCATGCAAATCCACAAAATGCTGTGGCTCGAACATCGTTCTCTTTGATTCTGGAACTGAAGATCGGTTGCAATAGATATTACTAGAAATATTTAAATAAAAAACTAGAGTCTTTGTAGCAAAGTAATTTGGGTCTGAATGCCAAGTAAAGCACGCCTGAGGCAAACGCGACGAGGAGGAAAAAGGAGAAGGATGAACAAGAAGAAGCAGCAAAGGCACCATCGACAGCAGGTACTGCGGTCGGGCTTGCGCTTGGAGAGTTGCTTGAGGCGTTTGGTGTTCCCGGACTGAGGAACGCTGAGGATTTGATCTCTGGGGATCTGGATCACATAAGTTCCCGACTTCAGCCTGGGCTTTACTTGCGGAGGAGGCGCGGACTCTGCAACGGCCACAGCCTACAGCTACAACAACCGGTCGACCGTGACAAGCGAGACAAAGGTTGGGAGAACGAAGACGATGAGGGAGAGAGAGAAATAGAGGAGGGTAAAAATGACATTTTATTTTGAAGTCCCTCCCCATCCCATCCCATCCCATCCCATCCCACCCAATCCCACGGAGGAGGTGGGATGGCTTTTATCACATAAGGTTTGGATAGGACAAAATGTAGGATACATTTTATACAATCCCATGGCACCACCAAATGTAGGTTACACTAAGATGGGACTAATTTTTTATCCCATCCCATGACTTGTCCGATCTCCCAAACGTGCTGTTATGGTTACAATTTCCTCTTTACACATTTTAACCAATTTATTATCACTTTTCAGAGAAGGATTGTGAGCTTCATCAAAACACGACAACTGGATCAATTGACATAACTGACACATGGGAGCCTTTAGAAGAAGGCCTTCTTCCGTGAGAACCGAAATTTCATGCTTCTTTTGCTATCTTATGTATTAATATTTTTGCTATATGAATTTCATTCCGAATGCTTTATTTACTCATGCAGCCTAGAAACCACTCGCCATGTTTTAGAAAGCACAGTTACTTTGTCTAAGAAAGAGCTGGATTCATCGTCCATTGGGTATGTCATATGTGGCAACTTTTTTTTTTTTTTTGAACGGCATCATATGTGGCAACTAGTATTCTAACTTTCAAACTTTACAATTTTGCATTTTGCGTTTTCACATTACCTGACAGCATTGTAGTTGTTTTGTAATCTTTAGGTCAGTTGGCTACTATAATATCCAAGTTAGGTTAATCTTGCATATTGTTAACAAAGAAATTACATATTTTTTCTTTTTTTTGAGAGAAATGTATGTTGCAATCCCTATGGTAACACTGTGGATGCTATTTGTTGTTCCATTATTAATTTATTATAATGGTAAGGTCAAAGTTAGTATTAATAGTTTTTTGTTTTGAGGACTTGGCTTATGATTGTTTAAGTTTATTAGTGATTGAATCTGTTGATCAGAAATGATTACCTCAGTGGAAAAGATTTGCTTAAACTACAGATTCTACCCCAGGTCTACTTATTTTGATGAGTGTGAAAATTGTATCTGCCAATTGGCATGAAATGGTTATTGGAGGAGTTTTGTTGTATGCCATAATTTAAACGTTTATTTTGGTAACCAACCAACTGGAATACTTAAAAGGTTGAATTTGAATTATATTCAATACAAAAAATGTAGAAAGATAGTTTCTTTTCAATTTCACCTTGAAGTTTTATCACTGCCACCAGAATTTAGCTTTGGTTTTTCTATTTTAATTTTTATTTTCTTTTAATTTTTATTTTCTTTTAATTGTATTCTTCATCTTTGGTGGTTTTTCTTTTCCACATCAATTTCCCTGATCACACAAGTTTTTTACATCAATGCTTGAGTTATTGGCGTCTCCCCAATATTAATATTCTTCAGTTAACTGGTCATTGTAGTGTAGGTTTAAATGTCCAATTTATATAGAAATTATATTAAACTAATAAAAAGAGTTGTGAAAATAAAAAATTAAATGACAAATGGCTTCGAAATTAAGAATAAAAATATTTAAATAATATATAATAATTATAAAAGATAGAAAATAATATTATGATAAATAATGGTCTAAGATTCACTTAATTGATTTATTCAACTGTTATCAATTTTTATTCATATTTATTACTCAATTACATGTTTTACATCTCAAACAAAAGATTAGGAGATATAACTTTGAAAATAAATAATAATCATTAATGTATTTATTTCGAGAGAAATTAATTAATTTTAATGAAAAACAAATTAATCTATTCTTATAAGTAATACGAGAACAAGAATAAATTTAATCGACAATACTGTAATGAAAGATCAATTTGTAAAATAAATTTATCAATCAATTATATTCTAATAAATTACATATATAAACAAATTGTAACTAATTTTATATAAAACTTAATG